GTTATTGTCATAAATATTCTCTTGCCACTCTTTGAATTACGTACGTATAGTTAATATTTCATAAAAATACATCAGTAATTCTTACTTATGCCATATTTGCAATTTGTGGCCTTCATGAACAAAACAGGAACAACAGAGAAAAACGGATTGCAATTCCACAATTCATTCACTAAAAAAAGAAGAGCTAGGAGAGCACTAAGTCTAATTCGAGTCCTTTTGTATTAATTAGTGATCTATGAGCAAGTATTATAAATATTTAATGGAAGTGTGCGATTGAACTATACTCTGACCACGTTCGCTCCTATTTTAATCCATTATGTTACTTTTATTAACGAAATAATGTACTTAAAAAACAATAAATAATCTACAATTCTTGATTATCTCTGTTCTCTGATGACGGTGTAAAAGATGACAAAGAGCTAATAAACAAATATCCATGAAATTGAGATTTAATGTAGTTATATTGGCTAGACCTAATGGTCTAGAACAGATTTTTGTGGTAGTATATACCAACTTATTTTGCAATACGTTCAATGCACTTGATCATTCTCAACGCCCCGATGTTCCGGATAGGCTCATCCATTAATAGTGCAAACAAACCGGGCTTCGCTGGCGGAAAGTGAAACCTGCTGCGCCTGTAAGCCGCGGCGGGCCTGCCGCGCACCTCCGCGCGTGGAGGACCCCGCACCGCCCACGTGTCGCGCGGGGCTCCACAACACCCCCCCCGCCCACGACCTCCCGCGACGAAAAGACTGAAGTGAATTAGTCCCAATTAGCCATAACAACATTATTTAGCGGCGGCGCCGACGAGGGCGGTAGGTCGGGCGCGGCGGCGGCAGTGGTACGCGAGCGGAGGCCTCTGGTGCCGCGCTAATGAATTACGACTCTCCCGCGCCGCTGCGTCCCAGCCCCTCCCCCCCCCACGCCGTTCAAAGATTACGGCGCGTTCCATTTATATTTAAATCCGGCGCGCGTGTTTCATTTTTTTCCTCGCGGCTCGCGGGCGGTTTACCTTGTTGTCGGGGCGCGGCTCCAATTGGAGGAACGGCGCGGAATTTATCCATGGCGCGGGGGGGGGGGAGGGCGGGCGCGGCACTTCGCGCCCCGCCCCTGGGCGTGGGTGATTGCGGCGCATTCGTCAGGGCTGCGGAAGAAAGATTCTCGCGATGTGGCGCGGCTCCGACCTGGCGAGGTGGGGAGAGAACATGGAACGTGGTTGTTCGCATGAGAGTGGTGGGATTGGCAATAATGAGAGAAATGACTTCATTCTATGGAAAATAAGCGTGTTTGGATGAAAATTTAACGGGGGCGTTTAAAGAGAGAGGTCTTTTTTTTTATTTGCGAAGATACGTTGCTTCGGGAGTTTTTCATGACAAACTTTATGGTCTATTTGGAAAACCTATTAAAATATAAACTTAATATCTTTGAAATTTTTTCTGCTTTTCACGTGAAATATTATTTTTACTTTTACATCAAACTCACTTTTACGACTGAAATCCCCTGACTGGAAAATCAATGAATTATTGTGAAAGAAGGACAATTTAACGGTGAATTACTGTATGTATAATGATAATGTGTTTATAGAAGGAAGATTGTGCAAATGGAAAAAGTGTTTTTGTACACACTAGTGTATAATTGTGATTTTGTAATAATAAAGATAATGATGATGATGATGATGATAATAATAATAATAATAATAATAATAATAACAACAACTTTATAATAATGTACTTTAGATAATACAATTATTCAATTAATAACGAAACTATAGGATTGAAATGAAAACCTGCTACGAGATAGACTAAACCATTGAGATGAGAATTACCGTCATGGATGCGCTTCAAAAATAAGTTGAGAGAATGAAAAAATATGTGTAATAATGGATTTTTGTATGGTATTATGCTTAGTTTTTAAAGAAATACGTTCTTCTCAGTTCTAAAAATTGTCTTGAGAAATTTTCAAGCTTAACTAAGCAAACAATTAACTCTGGCCATAATTCGATTGAAGAATATTGAAGATGATTGAAGATTGGAACTAATCGATCGAAGCAGAGAAAAATTATGTAATTAAAGTATGTTGCAATTTTTTGAACTTGGATTATTTTTATACAAAATATTGAAATATATTTAACAAATTATCCATGAATATAGAAGTGTAGTAGAAAAGTAGGGAAGTTATAAATTGCTTCGCGAAAGTAGGTCAAACATTCATAGAATTCGCATATGTTAAACTGTTCTTATTAAAATCAATATTAAACGTGATATATATTTTATCATGCCCAAAATGTAGTCATAGTAACAACAGAATTCTCTGAACCAGCTTTCCGTGAGAAATCGAGCGAATAAAGCCCAACTTTAAAGCGAGAAATTCTCGTACGAGTGAATCTCGACCTAGCGTTCTGTTCCAGTTGTTGTGAAATCGCAGAAAAACATTCCGTGGGAAAAAAGAGGAACGTGCTGCGTGATACGTTAAAATACAGGGAAAAGGTTGAATATTAGTTTAACAAGCTTAAAATTTACATCGCTACGAGCTTAGTTTAATAAACGTAGCTAACAATACTTGCATATAGGTGCATTGAGACGCAAGTCCCTTCTTTTTAGTTGCGTTGGTGTTAGAACACCTTGAGCTACGAATTAATCCGCAAGTTCGTTTTATATTTAGGAATATAATGCTTGTCTCTTTTTATGGCAAAACGTTTTCTTTTCTCAACTGAACGCCCTGGGGGTTTGGATATTATAAAATATCAGAACTATTTCTTCTTCTTCTTCTTCTTCTTCTTCAACTTTCTCACATTCTTTTATACTCATGTTCGTACAGAGCATTAACATAACTTGTACTAATATTGTCAACATGAAAAATACTAAAATTCAATGATAATTTTTCATACTAGAAATATCAAGATAAAAACGCTTTTAACTCAAATGATTTCTACGGGTGGGACCTGTCAGAATATATTCTTCTTGAGCCCATATATTCTCAAATTAGGCCCCCTACAACGTGCATTCGTTGGAAGACTTTTTTCTCCTTGCGCTCGGGCACCGCTTGCTTGTGTGTGTGTGGGGGGGGGGGTCGGAGGCGCGCGGCGGACGGCAGTACGTGGAGCGAGCGCAGCGCGCTGCGTCGCAAGATTTACGACACCGGACACCCGCGAACAAGTTCCTCTTTGTAATCGCGCGCGCCCTCCCCTCCCCCCGCCGCCACGCCGGATTTTCTTCCTGCTCCCGCCCCTCAGCCACTGTATTCTCTCTCAACTTCTGCATTCTTTCTTCCCTAATTTCCGTCCTGGTCCCGTACGCGACCGCTTTGAAATCATTTTTGTTGTGATATTCCTCTGCTCTGTCTCGTCAGATCGTCGTCTTTAATCGTTTCGTGAGGCATTTAATGACGCATGCGTGCGGCTATTACGTTCTTGTAGTTTTCATAATCCTTTCCGTACCTAGCATCTAAAGCCTTAGTGTCTCCATCGTTCCAAACGTCATCTTTTGTTCGTTCAGTACGATGATATTACTGATGTCGATATAGTATTCTAAATTTTACTGTGACAATGTAGTAAAAAGTGTTTGCATTGTATATATCTTACAATACAAGACTGTGACTACTCTGTTCTCGCAAGAGGCGCACTTCTCCTCGAATATAGGGTAATGCAACTGATGTATATTATCCTGTGCAAGCCGGCATGCCCTGTAAGACATCTCATTTTACCGTACGAGAGCACTTTTTCTTTAGTTAACTCTCTCTCTCTCTCTCTCTCTCTCTCTCTCTCTCTCTCTCTCTTTCTCCCTCGCCTCTTACCTTTCGCCTCTTCTCATTTCCCCCTCTCCATCTCTCCTCCTCTCTCCGTCTCTTCCCCTCTCACCACCTCTCATCTCGCCCTCACCCTCTATCGCCTTCTCCCTTCGCCCTCTCCCTCTCTCTCCCTCTCTCCCCCTCTCTCTCCCTCTCCCTATCCCTCTCTCTCCCTTTCCCTGTATCTCCATCTCTCTATCCCTCTCTCGCCCTCTCTCCCCTTCTCAAAAGAAATGATCCTACGTAATTCATTACCAAAACATTATTACTATAGTCAGAACATTGGCTTTGACGCTACGAAGAATTGTATTTGACACCTGAAGATTTTCAATCTTGGTGGAACACCCGTTTCTTCTGCACACCACATCGAACCACGGAGGATGAAGATGTCACACTGTCTGGGGGGGAGGGGCATTTTGCGACTCACAAAAATTCAACTGATGTACATTGAGTAAAGTCTTAAAAGAAGTGCTCTAGAATTAATTAAAAATCTCATCTAAACGCTTTGATAGCTTACTATTTTGAAATGTTTATTGCTTGTGAGTATCTAATAATTCATATTATATTTATGTAATGATTGATAAATCGTAAAAAAGAAAGTCGATCCAAATCATATTACTAGTTTAGTAAACTAAAAACATGAAACGGTATCCCGAAAATTCACTTCTCGATACAATATACTAGACACACACGTGTAGCAAATTGCCTACCACTCAGGCGAAGCCCTCGCTTTCATCGTGTTAATCCCTCCTTCCGCAGCTACTGATGCGATATTGTCGGCGGTGTTACGAGTACATAACCCTACGGAGATCTTGCTTGATTTCACAATACCAAAACAGACACTCAGCTGTTTTCGGGCCATATCTCCTCCAACAGACAACATGGCATTGACTATTTCAATATTAAAAAACAACGCGTCGTCTGCTTTTTTCATCGTTGGGCAAATTTATTTCACAAAGCTCTGTATAAAACTTAGCAATACTGTTGATCCTGTATTTAATATTCCACATCGCAGAAAGATGTTTCAAAAACTGGTAAATTTATGATTCACCTCGTGTAATTTGAATATGGAGTATGACGCACGTTGCGCCCTCGTGTCTCGCCGCCGCTCGAACACCGCCTCCGGAATCCCTCACACGCCAGCCGCCCCCGGAGACGCGCTCCGCCAGTGACGGGCGGCCCCGGGGGGCAGCGCAGGGACTTGAAAGGTCGCGATGATACCCGGTGGGGTGAATAGCGGCGGAGGGGCCCTGCACAATGGCGTGGAGAGCTTCGAGCCCACCTCTGCCCCCTCCCCTCCCCTCCCACGCGCCCGGCGTCGCGCCGATATAAATCCCAGCGCGTGCTGCCACCGACAGACCGCGCATGAAAGTGAAACCATCCCGCCCCGCCCACGTCGCACGCACTCCCGCCCCTCCCTGCGCCGCCCCCGGGCGCGAAGGGGGACGCGGAGGGCCCGGGGGCGACTTCGAACCCCTCCTCGCGAGGTGGACCCGCGCGGAAATATTTCCACAGAACGCACGCGGTTATGAAAAATGAAATTAGTTTCCCCTCCCCTCTCGTAGAATAATGTGCATAACTCGATTTTAAGAATATTTGAAGAAGACGTCTCGCACGAGGAGGGAGAGAGAGAAAGAAAGGAAGATGCGAATGGCGGACAGGGCGAGAGGAATGGGAGAGGGTGAACGCTGCGCTAATAGAGCGGGCAATGGGTCTGCGAAGCGCCACGCGGGGGTTGCCAAGAGAGGGGGTTGAAATATGGAGCGCTTATTGCGGTGGAGCAGGTGCACCCCTTGCGAGGGGGGGCGAGGGTGTTTCTCGAGTTCAGGTCGCGAGCGAGGGAGGTCCAGCTTCACTTGCATATATGCACTTCACTTCGTCGGGAAGGAACATACGCGTGAAACATAAATTTGTGTAATGATTTTGTTGCTTCCGGAATTTGTGTTTAGAGAATACCTGAACTTAAGTTTTTCTTCTCTGCGGATTATGTTATGAAATTCTTTTTCTCTACTAACTATTTTCGTCACCCGAAAATTACTGTCATTTAACAACGGTTGGAAAATGCATTGTACAATTAAATCGAATAAATTAGGTTATTACCAACGATATAATTCAATACATTTTCAAAGCATGATGGCACCCTTGTTTTCAAATCAAATAAAAATTGTGGCTAAATTCTCTGTGTTTCTGTGCACATCAGTGTTGTAAATGATTCTATTATTTTACTGTGACCTAAAATGTTATCTTCATTTCAAATTTGTGAGATTATTTTTCTCTTTTTGTTGCAGGTTCGTTTGAAGTCTCGACTTCAGCTTGATTTAACTTTCATAAGAATTCAACGTGTACTGTAAGTTATCATATTAGTTGTTTTCCATCGGAGAAAGTACTGAATGTACTGAAAGTACTAAAGTCTTTAATAGTATCACTGAAAACCGTTCTAATCAAATTTATTATTTCCCACAAAAGTGTTTGGATGTAACTGTTACATTTAATGAAATTCTGAAATATCTTTTGGCTTGAATTATAAAGTACGTAGTTATTTACTCCTTGGCTTTCATTTGTTTTATCCTGTGGCGTGCAATTTCCACTTCTGTAGATACAAAACTTCTCCAAATACACTACATTCTTGGCAAATCCAATTTGGCCCCGAAATTACTTCTATTTTGCAACAAAAAAACTCGTACAGGAAAAATAAGATGCTCAAGTGCAAATCCGTGAGAGTGGTCAGTGAGTGCCAGTTGAACAAAAAAAGGTGCCCGCCGGAGCGATTCCGCTCCCCTAAACCTGCTTCTGCATTTAGAGTGTTTTGTCCATTCTGCGCGCCGTGCGTGTCGCGTTTTTCACTTTATTTGCCGTTCTTCCGCCCCGTCGAGGCGTATATTCCATCCTTTGAGGACGCGATCCATTGGTATCCGTCGGTCGCCCCAGTCGACCCCACAAAGGGAAAGAGGCCTTCCTGAGGGGTAGATGCGGTAGTTACCCCTCCCCCTTTGCTCTCTGCCGCGCCAGCCAGCGCACGCCCGTACCCGCCTACGCCCGGGCACCAGCTGCCGCCGCCGCCGCCTAGACGCACTATCCCGCTTGGGTCCCCGGCCTCGCTAACGCCTGCGCCACGGCCTACTCGCGCCTGAGCCTCTGCTGCGCCTCGCGCGCTCCCTGCCTGGCCCGCCTGCACTCCGCTCGCACCTGCCACGCCCCACTCCCGCTCTCGGATGCCGCCCACGCGCTGCCACGGTCCCGCGACTGCTTTCCTCGCGCGGCACCTCACCGCCACTGCCGCGCCGCCCGCCCTGCTCCCGAGCCTCCGACTCGAGTCCGGCGGATGTGACACCAAACGAAACGATCTCTTTTTTATTATTATTATTTTCAGTTCAGCGGCAATGGAGGGGTCGGGATAAAAGATTCGACGTTTTCACCGTCTCCCACTTTCTCCCCCCCCCTCGCAGCCTCCGTCTACTCACCCCGCCGCCTTACTTTAACATTTTCTTTTGAGGTTTTTTGACTATTAAGTCAACCATAACTTTAGGACAATGAGCTTGGAACGGATAAAGGATGCTGCGACATCGGGCAAAGAGAGAAAGAAGGATAAAAAGACGACGTTAAAGATTTCTTTTTTTCCCCTCGAGGGTGGGGGAGCGGGGTTATCTATATAGATTTAGACGTGGGCGAAAGTGAACTCGTAAATATCCCGGGTCGCAGTCGTTCGCGGATATCTCTTTGGCGACCGGGAGGTGATAGAAGGGAAAGACAGACGGGCTGCGAGCGGAGTGGGGGGAGTGTGGAGAGGAGTGTGAGTGAGACAGAGCTCTGAGAACGGGGCGAGTTACAATGGGAGAAACCGAGATAAGACGAGTTAAAGAGAGGCAAAGGGTGACGGAAACTGTCTGGGGATGAGGAGGTGTAATAAGCGCGGAGGGGTGAGGCGTGGCACGAATGGTGGAACAAAACGGGATAGGAACTGGTGAAGAGAGCAAAGGGCGGGCCGGCGAAGCGTGGAGAGGTCATGTGGAATGAAGTATGGCGCAGTGGGATAGGGCCAGGCGCGAGAATAGGCTTGTGATCGGGTGCGGGTGGAGAAGGGAGCGGGAAATGGCGGGATGTGTGGTGGGAAAAGGGGAGTCGGCGAGAGAGCGGATAGTAGTGAGGAGGGGGAGGAGGAGAGAGCGTCGCGCTCCTTGGAGACGCGGGCGCACAATGCACCAAATTACCCGTGAAAATATCGATAATGATTTAAAGTGTGGGAGGCCCGCAGACCGCGTGCGGTGGCTGCGCAGCGCCCGGCGGCGCCCGGGCGGCGGAGTCGATGACCTTTCGAGAACTCGCGACAGTACGTACTAAGGTAATTGACCTCTCGAGGCTGGGATTCAATTCGAACATGTGACATCCTTGCACTGACTGGTAGAGTATCGAATGAATTGTACAGAAATTCAAATTTGGATGCCATTGAAAGATAAAATGCAGTTTCATCTTTCATTAAATTTCTCCTTTCTTTACTATTATGAGAATATACCTATTGACGTATTTTTACTCTCTGATTTTTGTTAACAACGAAAACATTCTCCTGTTTGGCTGTAGAATTAGAACAGCAAAGGTAAGTTGTTTCCGTGGAGATGCACGTTACCTCCCATCGTCATGTTCACAGACCGACACCGGTCAACCGCAGGCAAAACACGCCCAAAAAACAAAAACATCTGACGATCACAGCGGTCAGTGCTTTCGCCCAACCCGAAAACGCGCAGGTCGGAGCGCCTCCACAAACAAAACACGCCTGTCATTTTCCATCAGTGCCAGTCTTCCCCCGCCGGCCTCGCGGTCCCTTCATCACACGCTTAATAAATTGAAATCGGTTTAATTGGTAATCAATGATTAATTAACTACGAAATGAACAAATAATTTAAGAGGTGGCATGTTTAATGTAATCCGTTTGGGGTTTGGCCAAACGCGGCACACGCAGTGTGATGCAATTGTTGACCTTTGTTGAAGAGGGTTCTCAGCATTCCCGCTGCCATGCTGCGTCGTCCTCGCCCGCGCAGGTAATCCGATTTGTCTCCAAAGTAGTTCGGCAGGAGAGCGCAAAGTGCGTATAAAAATTCTCTTTGCGTTTTTTGCACTACTAAAGGATATATATTAAAAATTCATGTCTGATTCTGCGCAGTCTGGCGAAAACTTTATTCGTAAACATGTTTTTAGAAGGTTCTGCAAAATTCATTAAAGAGGCGATTCGCGGAACGAGGTGTCTTCATTTGTGTTTCAAATAAGTCTGAGTCAGGAATTTGTTGAGCCGCAGTTTTTGAATGAGAACGCGAATTAAATAAATTATCAATTTCCCTTTATTACTAATTATTATTAGTTTAAAAATTCCTTATTCTGACACAAACAAGGTAAATAGGGACGCCACCTGGAGGAAAAAGTTTTATTGATAATTTGAATGTATACTTTTTGTTTTTCATGACATAGGACGTCTACAATTACTCTTCCTACGTTTTACTTTTCAGTTCATTTTGGGTAATACTTAAGTCCTAAAACAATCCTACCGTGCTATTAAAAAATACGAAAACATACTGCTATTAAATGTTAGAATCGTTTAGAACCACAGAAAATGCCACAATGAATTTCAAATTATTAAAAGGAAAAGTTTTCAAAACCCACGAAGAAAAACTTCCCTTCTTGCTTACGGCAGTGGGAGGAAAATTGGGGTGGTGCAATGTGAATGAGAAATATTTGTAGCAGCACAGTGTATTGCGGTCGTGGGGATCGAATGAAAAGTACAACAACATACAACAACAACAACAACAAACAATAATATAAATAATAAATATAATAATAATAATATAATTAATAATAATAATAATAATAATATAATAAATATAATACAATAATAATAATAATAATAATAATCTTGTTCTGTTAGTCGCGAGGCACAGCATTAGCCGTGCTCTTTCCGTTTAACAACGCAAATGTGAGGAAGGAGTAGGGAAAGAAAATGAATGGAAGGCGGGGCAACGCGCTGAAAAGAGGAAGGGAAACGCGCGGGCAGGCGGGCAGGCGGGCGCAGGATGGAGACGTGCTGGTGAATGCGCTTCTCTCCATTGCCCGCCTCTGAATGGCGGCGCCGCACGCTTCCTTCCTCGACCCCTCCCCGCTTCCGTTGCCATCTGCCCAGCCAGCCCTGCCCTGCCTCTAGTCCCGCATTAGCCCCGCCCTAGACCACCCCGCCTGCTCGCCGCTGCTCGCCGCCGCCCCTGCCA